CTGGAGGGAGGGGGTGGGTCGGGTGAGGGTGGGATAAAAAAATTGAAGTTGAAAAATATTTTTTTAAAATAAGCTTTAAATTTACTTTTTCATCAATTTTTTTTTTTGATTTTTTCAACAAAAAAGTTGTAATTTGAAATTGGTGGAAAGTTTTGGAAAATGTTTTTCTTGATTTTTGAAGGGAAGTCATTTTCCTTGAATTTGAGGAAAATGAGTTGATTTGAAAAACATTTTCCAAAACATTTAACCCAACCAAACATGAGAAAATTAGAAAACATTTTCCGAAAAATGTTTTCCTTCATACCAAACACACCCTGTATGTTGACAATAGATTGCTTACAATAAAATCTTCACTTTTAGGACAAAAAGATAGTAAAATTTGATAACACAACGTGGCACAGAGCCTCTTATAAAATCTCTTTTTTTTTTTACACGTTATTGGAAAACAATGAGGCATAATCTGATCTTTTCCTTTGCTTCAAAAAGAGGCCATAAACATTACATAACAGAGCTACAAGGGATTAACATGGGGGCTTAAATAATCAGCAAGCCATACAATGAGCGATTACTACTAAAAAAAATTCACGCTTTCAAATAATTTCAAGGATGAAACTCTAACAAACTAAAATCCGAAAAATTAAAATAAATAAATAAATAAGAAACTCAATTCTATACTAACTTTATGGCAAACGACTATTCACTTATACAAAATTACTAAGTAAAGGAGGTAAAGATTTGAGCAAAGCTCACTCTTCGGCAGCGAAGCAACGAAACCCGAACAATAATGGAGAAAGGAGGAAGAGGACGACTAAACATTAATTGAATTCAAGCTAACTTAGATACAAACAATACAATTCCATTTTAGCTTGTTTTAAGGGTGTAGATAATAAGGACATATATGTAAAATTAACATGGTAAAACACTTTACATGGAGGATTTAATAGAAGAACATATGCTCCAACATAGTGTAAACGACCAGTTTATTGATTCATTTTTACTCGGCCTTAGTTAGTAAGAAAGTTGAAATACATCAACTCGCAAATGCAAAATAACGTAGCCTACGCAGCAAACGCTTATTAGAACACAGATTCTATAAATACAACGGCTAATATTAATCCCTAAAGAACAAATGCCATGGAGAAAAAATAAAAAAAATAAGACAGTAAGCACTCAATTCATGTTATTTACATTAACGGAAGTAATAAGTAAGTTACGAACATCATATATCAGATTAAAGATGAAACCATCTACGGAAGATGGTTTCGAACTAAAAAAATAATAATCTGAATTGCTAATCACAGCTAACAAGACAAGCTAATAGTGACAAAACAGAACATACATCGTCTGAAAGGAAAGGACGAGAATATTACCTTTTCCGGTGCAGCGATACTAGGACGATGAGAAGAGCGATTCCACCGCTCTAAGGCTCAAACACAAACAACAGTTGAGATATATAGGCAGAAATGTCTGACTCGACCCTGAAACTAAGTATCTCCTCTGCTTTTCTAGAAGTGTATTTTTGTATGTATTTGACTACTTTGCTTAAATTGATCTTAGTATTTTTTGCTCTCCCAAAAAAAATTCCCCTCTTTTTCTTTTACAGTGAAGTAGAAGAGGTTTATATAGATGGGAAAAATTGGGTTCAATTCTCGGGGGGGAAATCGGAAAGGGTAAGGGTAGAACAGGAATTCCAATGGAATCCCCAAATTCAATTTTTTTTCCCCAAGGATGGGAAAACTATTCTTTGTACAAGATTTCAAACGAAATCCACTAAAATCCAGATGAAAAGATCAAGGTGGGCAGCTGTTGCAGAGAAAGTTGTGGACGTTGCTGTTTGTTGAATCGTGAGGGAGAAGGAGAACGTGCACTGCTGCTGTCTGGTTCACACGGAGAAGAAGAGAAAAGCGCAGGGGTGGGGCATTCGGCTACTGTTTGCTGTATTTGGGACTGCTGTACGTATATTGTATTGTTTGGTGGGTTTCTGGAATGGGTTCCTTTTGTGAAGGAAAAAAAATGGGCCGGGTAGGGAAAATGGATTGGGGTCGGCTGGGAAATTATTGGAATGGGCTGTGTAATCTGGAAATGTGTTTGAGGTGTTGGGTTGTTGGAAGGGTGAACGGAAATTGGAAAAATGGGCCAAGATGTGGGTCAATTTTTGACTTAAGCGCATAGCCACATTAATTGCAATTTCGATCAAATTGAGGTAATTAGAATGAAATGAATAAATATAACTAATTAACGAGCTTCTTAATTTTAACGAAACAAAATAATTAACCTAATGAACTAATGACTCAAAATATAAACTACTAATTTAGACAAAATTAATTTAATAGAGTATTTAAGTAAAACTAAAATCTTTTTGAGACCATTTTCGAATACTTATTAAAAAAATGTACCAATTACATACGTAACACATATATTATTTAAAAATTATAAATAAGTGATTAGCTATTTAAAATGACTTGAAAAGATTTTTATTCTATTTTATTTATTATTATTATTATTGTTGACACCCAATTTTGACCTTCCCCGATATAATTAATTTCCGAACTTCTTAATTTTCAAACGATTTAAAATAATTAATTTTAGAAATCTTGAAAAAAAATAAAATAATATATATATATATATAGTTTGCAAGTTATCTTAAATAATTTGTCACTTTTTATGATTTTAAACAATAATATGTCTTCTATATAATTTTGCATATAATTAGTATTGTTATGAATGTTCAAAAATTGTCTCAAAAGGATTTTAGCTTTGTTTAAACATTTGGTTATTTAGTCGTTTATATTTAAATTAATTATGTTATAATTAAGTTAATTATTTTATTTCGTTAAGACTAAGAAACTCATTAATTAATTTCTATTAATTCGTCTTGTTAGTTTTAGCCGAATTACCAACTAAACTCATTCGGCTAAATATTTAATTCAATTTGGCTACAATTTCAACTCAATTTGCTTGCGATGGTAATTCAATAGTTCTTTCGCAATTTGCAAAGATAGTCATCCCTAGCTTAGGTTCCAATTAACTTGAGACTTGAAATTGGGCCAGATTTTCAGCCCAATTTAGTGCAATTTTCCAGCATCTGCATAATCCCTCAGCAGCCCATTTCTACTCAACTGTCAGCCCAAAACACCCCAGACCCAACCCGGCCCAAATCTTTGTCCAAAAGAGGACCTAGCGTGAAATTTCCAGAAGCAACATTCATTAGCAGCAGCAACCAAACAGAGTAAGAACAGCGTCTTCACGCTAGCAGGAAAACGACAGAGCCATTAAATGCTCGACGGCAGCAGCAACATATACACGGCAAAGCGAACGACGTCTCACTAACGTTCATCTATTCACGCGATCCCAACCATTTATCTCCCCTTTCCTCTTCCGGAATGGGGCGAATTTTTTTAAAAAAAGGTGTTTATCCCAATTGGTGCAAGAAATTTATGGCGTTTGAATTTCGAATTTCCACCCGAATTCATCCGTTTTTCCCCCTATTTGGAACCCTAATTTCTCCCCTATAAATACTTTACCTTCTTCACTGTAAAGGGGGCCGAAAAATTGGGAGTTAGGGAACATATTGGAAAAAGAGGTTGGGAAATTTCCACAAGGATTTACAGAGAGAAGAGTCATTAAGCTATAGAATTCATATAAGAAAATACATCTTAAATATATACTTCTCTCCTCAGTTGTGGGTTACTTGGAACCTGCTGAATTTCTGAAGTTCTAAGCTGGTACCGAAGTCGCTCCAAGTTCGCCATTGTCTCAGCTTTGCTGCCCGAAAAAAGGTAACACTCCTCCCCTCATCTGTATCTTATTCCGATTTCGATATCATGTGATGAACATCTTTTGGGTTCTCGAGATTTCTTTTATGTTTCTTCCTTATTTTGTCTTCTACTTTTGATTGAAGGTCTATTTGATTTAAATATGGGTCGTCGGATCCGTCTCCTTCATTGTTTAGGCTTCTGGTTAATCATCTCATTATTCGCCATTTGTTCTTAGCTAAATGTAGGAGTCCAGATATCTAGATGTCGGGATTTACCCTTTGTATATGTGACGCCTTTAGTCTCGAATCTATTTATGTGAATCTTTCTATCTTGTGTCTGCTTACCTTAACTCGCATGCAAGCATAGGCCTCCTCATTATTTGCTACTGCATATGGCACGATTCGAAATAAGTGCCGGATCATGAAGGATAACTGTTAGGAGTTATGATTGCAAGCCTAGAAATTTTCTATTTTATGCAAGACTTTACTTGATGTGCTGAAATTTGTGTCTCTGTTGGTTACTATCATTGTTTGATCTCATCGTATTGCCTATATTCTTTTTTTTTAAGCTTCTTTTAATTTGTTATAGTTGTTGGTATTTACATATATATATATATATATTTATATATATATATGTATATGTATATATATATGTACATGTCTACGTATATGTATATATGTATATGTATGTGTATATGTATATGTATATGTCTATGTATATGTATATGTATTTCTTATTTTTTATTTATTTATTTATTTTTATTCTTTGATATCTGTTCAATATGATTAAATTGGCATTGAAACAGCCGGTTATACATTTACTCTTGTATCCATGCTTTAAATAGTAGCAGAATTATTTGATGTTCTTTATATCAAATCTGCATAATTGAATTTCATTGGATTTGGACCTATCTGTACTTTATTTCCACCTTAGCATGTTTGTTTTTTTTTTTTTAAAAAAAAAACTATTGTTTTAGTATTTTGATAGGCCGGGAGCATGTAGAGTTAGGAATATGTAGTTGTCCATTTAATTTTTATTTTTATTCTTCTCTTAGTGTGTCTCCTTAAGTGTTAAGCAGTATGGCTTTCTCTCTGTTTATTTTAGCAATCCATGGCCTATATTATTATTTTTTTTGAGTTAAACGCCTTTAGTTTGGTATCTCATTTTATCTCGGAAAGCATCTGCAAATCGACTTAAATTGTTTGAATTTGTTCTGTTTAATTATCTTAATTTGTTTATGCTTATCTCCCCCTGGGAATTGTGTCATTAAAAGAGGGAAAGAGAAAGTTTGATTGACTAGCTTCTAATTTGTGAACATGAACATCTGTGGAATATGTGTTAAGATTACTGTCAAATGTGTTGTTGCCATGCCATCAAGTGTGTCGTTCCTCTTATTGAATAATCTTGCCTTATTTATGAGTTTCATAGTTATTAGTACGGATATTAATCCTTTTTCTTCCTTTTCTTGTTTCATGTGATATTGAGTGAGCTCATGGAGCTCTAGTGCCCCTCTTTTTCATTCCCATGGGCCACGGAGGCCCAAAATTGCATTTCCTCAAGTCGTATTTAAAAATTCAAGTCCCAACGGACTAAGGTGTACAGGTTGAAAAGGGTGAAGTTGGAAGATTTAACACAGGGTCAAAGATGAAATACATGTTTCGGATGTTGTATACATGTGGTATACAATGGTATACGTTGAATGTATACAAATTCCCAAAGGCAAAATAGGGGCCCAAAACCTTAAGTGATTTCCAGCAGGCTCAAATGGAAAAAAAAATGGGCCCAAAGTCCATTTGAAATGCAGCAGAATAGAGGAAAGTTTAAATGGGCCCAAGCCCATTATTTGAACCAAATTTAGACTTAGGACAGGTGAAAATTGGGCCTAAGGCCCAAATAATATTTTATTTCATGTTAGTTTAGGACAGGTACAAATGACTTAAATGGGCCGAAGGCCCAAAACGAAAATGGGCCCAAATACTGGCCCAAGCGGACAGATCCAGACTTGGGCCCAAATTCTCTTTCCCTATTCATTTAACTGCTATTACGTGCTTATTTGTTAAAAAATTAGTATTAAGGTTTTGAAACTTCAAATCCCTAAAAGACACCATTCTGAATTAATCACTTAACTAAATTAGTCGTCTTTTACTTCACTTAAATAATAAATAAGTTTACAAAAAACATTTCACTTAGGTAATATCCCAATATTTCCCCTTTTCTCCTTTAAATTAGTTTCAACTATAAAATAGTTCAAATTTGCAAGTCGAGTTAAATTAAAATTATTTTAGCCAAATAAGTTAATCGTCGGATAACCACATTAGTGGACATTCTAGGTGCTTTTAAAACCTTCCTAGAATGTTAATAAGAACCCCGAACCCTTTCAAGTTTTTCACTAGATTCCTGTTTTAGTCTTGTGAAAAACGAATAGTTTTCTTGATTTTTCTTAAAAATTAAGTGGCGACTCTTAAACCAGTCCAAAATATATTTTCCTAATAAATCAATTATTATTATTTTATTTCCTAAAACTAATTATTTGAAATCGTTTGAAATTAAAGAAGCTTGATGATTAATCTGTATTGTGGAGGTCCAAAATTGGGTGTCAAATAAGGTAAATAATAATATAGGGTCAAACTTTTAGGAGATAAATAAGAAAACATAATTTCCCACTTAAGGAAATTATTCCCAAAAAATGTTTTATTCCCTTAAAAAAGTGGGAAAACTAATGGTCATTTTTTATTTTTTTTATACTTCTTACATGTTTTTTTTTAGAAATTAAAAGTACATATAATTTTTTTAATAATATATATAAGTATTTCTTTTAAATTGTGGGCCCCCAAAAATATGGGGCCCCAAGCGATGGTTTTAGTGACCTAGTGGTTAAGACGGCCCTGCGTCAACCTGATTGTATATGCAAGGTTAAAATTCATACAATTTAGATTTATAAGACTGGCTGTACTGTGTTGGTTTTCGTATAAAACTTAGACATATTGATTACAAATAACTAGTGATAACTCAAAACTGAAATCTATGTAATTCACTATAAAGTTGCTGAAGAATAATTCTAAACATAAATTTACTAAATAGTTTCACACACACACGATGTACTTACTTACATTATTCACACACACACGATGTACTTACTTACATTAAAATCATCAAATCCATGCACCTAGATCCTTTAGTTTTCAA